GTCTGGATACGACAGTTTGGACGGCTCAGCAGGACAATCGGCACACTGAACCACCACTTTATGGTGCATCGGCCGTCGTCAAAGAAAAGGACCAGGACAAGAAAGAATCAGTTGCCATATACCAGCTAGGTTTTTTCTTGCTTTGATCATTTCACAGAAGACATCGGAGAAAGAAGGTCGATTCCGGAACAGGTTCTTGAGAATAGGCATATCAGTCAGGAACACAGGAGCAAGTAGTCACAATAATTAGGCAGTTTTACCGAATGGTTGGACGTACTGGATTAGAAGTAGCGAAAGCGCTACTGACACGGTATTGCCGTAAACTCAAGATTTTGGCACAAGATTGTGAGGCGGCAAAGGAGAACGTTTACGATGAAGAGGAAGACGGCATAAAAAGCAGAGCGATAGAGTTGGAAGAAATGAAAAAGTTAACTTCGACAAGCCTGTGGAAATTTGCGGAGGTTGTGGATTCTATGAGTGAGCTGACAGAGGAGCAAGAACAGGAGGTACAAAATTATCTGGAGAAGGCTCAGGCGGCGATTGATCGTGACGAAACTGTCACAATTCAAATGAAATCTTTAAGGAAGAGTCTTGAACGCAAAAACGCAAAAACGTTACCTTCAAAGTTCGGATATTTGCTTACAGGAAAGCAACAGAGACCAATAGATGTGTCGGAAAGGAAACTGGGAGCTCTGACACATCAGTGGCAATGGTCCAGGGAATCGCGAACTTCGAAGCTGTTTTTGAGGACGACAGAGATCGGTGGGACAATCACAGGACCGTGGACTCAGCTGGCATACATATGTGAGTTCACTGGTACAAAGGACGCAGAGAAGGAGGCTAACAACGCAAAAGTTGCCAGATTTTTTGAGGGTACAATACAGAGAAGCAACGGCGTTTACTATGCACGATTGCCGTTCAAGGAGAACCACACCCAACTACCGGATAATAGAGCCATAGTGAACAAACGGCTTGGTATCCAACACAGAGTGGAATTGGATCCAAGCTTTCTACAAGCACATGATCGGACAATGCAAGATCAGTTGGAAAAGGAAGTAACTGAAAAAGTTTCCGACGGACAACCAATTTTTGGAGATTCCATAGCTGCTTTAATGGTTAAAAAGCGATGCCACATCAGGAAGAGGATCTGCGTGAGCCGTTGTTTGATCTAACAAAAATTTCGAGTTTTATCTCTACTGGACGAGCAGCTGCGATTATGCTCATTTTCATCGGTCGATCAATGCATGGACTGAATGAGGATCGCCAAGCTGAAATCTTTGAAAGAGTCAAGAAGTTAAGAGACGTTCAGAATTGCCCAGTTTCTATTTTAGGAAAAACTATGCAATCTGCCCGAATGATTATTCAAGATCATCAGAAACGCCAACTCTTCACCAAGTACAAATCCATGGACAACACCCTACTTCTATTCCAAGACAATCACTCAATCTGGCGCTCACGAGGTCAACTGGGAAAGTTATCACTAAGCCATCATACACAAAATCCATTCCAATCCAATTTACATTGCTCCTAAAACACCGCCTGCTTCACTGATAATCAAAGAAGCGCATAGTTTCTATCATAGACTAGTGGAACACACGAAGATGGCGGTACGAACACGCCGTGAGGCAGAGGAAGCGATTCAGTCATGCAGAATCACTGAACAGTTTTGGAAAGTGTGGCAGCATCATTACCTGACTAGCCTGCGAAAAAAACAACTGAAGAACATCTCAAGAAAAAGACTTGGACAAGAAACTCACAGTGGGATCGGTAGTACTTATCAGCGACCCAGTTTTACTAAAAAATGCGTGGAAATTGGCGCGTATAACGGATATTCGGCGTGGAACAGATGGTGTAATCCGAGAGGCAGAGCTAGTGACCAGTAAAGACGTAAAGTCAGACGACCAGTCAATCTGCTGATTCCCCTCGAAATTGTCGGCGACATGACTGAGACAGCAGATAAAGAGTCAACGTCGTCACTGAATGAAAATCCAAAAGAAGAAAGGTCGGAGAAGCCCTATAACCTCAGACCCAGCCAGATGAGCTGTAATGTAGAGAATGTTGTGGCGACACAAGAAGAAGAAATTTGCGTAACGAAATGGTTTCTATTCTATACTATGGTCCTGACATTCACTACTCTTGTATGAAGTATCTATGCCTACTATACGATGAAGTATCTATTAGGTTGTGTAATAAGTTCGTTCGCATTTTTTGTTTTGATTTTTTCTCAGTATTCTGCAAAGCATTGGCATAGTGTTAGTATGCGTTCGGAAGCTCTAAGTTTGCTCTACCAAGATACTATCATTATATTCTCAGTTTTTGAAAATTTGAACAAAAATTCCACTACAAACCGAAAAATCTGAAGTGGCAAAAATCCCATTTTCGACATCTTTTTTCTTCCTTAGTTTTCCCGTTATTCTTTGTTGAAATTTATTCAAAAAGCTTGACAACGAAGAATAAGAACTGACTAACAATTTAAGCGTTTACTGATACTATTTACATTGTCCCTTTCCTTTCACCGACCGCTTAATGCAATTTTTGCAAAACTCGGCGTAACAAGGCTTTGCCGCAGCGGTATTCGTTGTCTCGCGTCCGTGGGCTATATGTCCCTCGAATTCTGAATTTTTGACTATATAAGTCATTTATTCAATGACTTAGAGCTCATGGACCACATATCTGCCAATTCCTGGATTATTCGGCTACCACCTTTCTTCAGAGGTGCCTTCAGATGCTTAACGTTGACACCAAAAAGACATAAAAACATACCTATTTTTGAGCTCACAATATGAATTGTTTTTGAAAGGTTTTAGCACTACAGGTAATCGGCAGGAGCTATAGTATTCTATTTATACATGTCGCAAAATTTCTGAGCTGTTTCTTAAGCGCTCAAACCCATTCAAGGTGCGGCATAATATAGTTGTCGAAAATGGGATTTTCGCCAATTCAGATTTTTCGGTTTGTAGTGGATTTTTTTTTATTCAACTTTTTACAAACTGGGAATATAATAACAATATTTTGGTAGAGTAGACTTAGAGCTTCCGAATGCATACTAACACTATGCCAAATGTCTTGTAAAATACTGCTGTGAAAAAATTGAAACAAAAAAGCGAACGAACTTATTACACAACCTAATATATCTACTACATGGTATCTATGTATATATACTATACTATATATCGCTACTTATCTATACATACATCTATATTGGTGCGGTTTTTTCTTCTGGTGCAACTGTAAGAAGAAACATATTCAATGCTGTGGCCGGGAGTATCGCGGATCGCGATCAAGAGAAAACCAGCAGACAGTGCTGTAGTGTAGAAATGTGTTTATGTATTCTCAATGTTTGTTTACGTACGCTTTATCCATTGCCCTTTTTGGGCAATGATCATTCTCATTGTGACTTCGCCCTCGATAAAGCAGTTATTCGACGCTGGTGTTTGGATACGACAGTTTGGACGGCTGAGCAGGACAATCGGCACACGGAACCACCACTTTAGTAAGTATTAACAAATAGAAGTGTGTTTTTAGAAACAAGTGCACTATTGCCGCAGTGGCAGCAAAGTGTAGACCCGTAGAGTCCTGTAACAATGGGTGGTGTAACCGGGTAGGCGGGGAGAGGCATGATTAGTCGGTTCAAGGTACTCCGCTCGCCCGCCTTATTGTCGAAGCTGGCGCGGCGTGCCTCTAGAAGACGAGCGTCGAGAGGCATGATCGCCCGCCCGGTAGACATCACGCTCGTCCGAATTATTGTCTGAGGTGGTTCAGTTATTTAACATGCTAATTATAAAAATGATTCCCATCATGTTTGATAGGTCTTCTTACTTACTATTTGCACGAAGATAGGTTATAACCTCAGGTGCTTCTATTTTCCTTAATCCTAACTGTCATCGTTAACAGTATCATGTTGTTGCTATAACCTCGATCGAGAACTCCGCTCTTCTCTGACCACTCAAAACGACTCCCAACTGTTACGCGTCACACCCCAGCTTAACCCTGCTCTGAATCCTTTTATACGTTCAGGCCTGAGCATCAGATTAGAAGACACGCTTGCGGCGGCAGAGTGTGCAAGCTATTCGGCTGTCGAAGACCCCATCCGCTTGAGTCGGCACTTAAGTAAGACACAGTGACTTTTTTTACTCATGACAAAACCACAGTGATCCTGCCAATGACCTGTTTAGCGCTTTGGCAAAATACATCAATCGTAAGCATAATTTTGCAGTAAGAAACATAACCTTCTCTAAGATTTCAATATAATATTAATGCTCGCTCACCAAGAATTAGATACAGAAAATCAAAAAGATTTAATGCTGTTAAATTAGTATAAACGTACAGTGTGTTTAAATCGTGGTCAGGCCAAGCTTGACTTAAATTCCGCGCTCGCAGCATTAGGATTCTCTTAGTGCGCGCATGTAAAGCACCTGGAGGGACCGAAAAGAAAGCAGTCAAGTTTAGGTACTGTGTCTTTTAGCAAACCAAAGACGTGACCAGAACCACAGCGATGCCAAGCATCGTATTCAATCTAGGTGGTAAGGTACACTTAATCCGCTGAGCTTTCAAAGCGTAGAAGTCAAAAGTAATGAGCTTGCGAGGATTATTAGTAGAGCAGAGCGAGACGTAGGCTTTGGTGGACCGAATCTGGAGTAGATCTTGATAAACTCCACACTTCGCGGACAGCTGGCACGTGCTGTAGCTCAACCTTACGTGTAAAGATGTGTGTTTGTTGCAGTCTGAGCAACACCTTTTCTTTTGGAGACGTACCTTAATTGTCTTCTTGAGAGCAGATGAGTAGCTCAGACATCAAGCGAAAGGTAATTCAACGAAAGAAAAACAGAAAACATATGGGCGTGGTTCTGGATACTAAGCTCAAAATTACATTAAAATGATGCTGCTGAGGTGAGTAGGGTAACCAATAGCTTGGTAAGATGTCACAGCCACACTGAAAATTGAGTTTGGAGCACACATGTGAAAATGAGAATACGTGTTCCTATCCCTTCACCCCTGGATCAAAACCCAGCTGACCCACTTCGCTTACGGCCGATGAAAAACTGAAAAAAGCGAGACTAAGAAATTAATTTTTTAAGCAAAATCATACAACTATCGGCATTATTAAGATTGCGTTCAGTAACATCTTAATTCATAATATTATTAATTCATAATATGTTATGACTTTCCTTCACGGCCACCGTAGGTGGCCGTCAAGCTGGCCGTAAAGCCAGACTTCGGAAAAAGTTTGCCGCCGATAAACTTCACATAGATTTCTCATAATTTTTTATACGTGGTGCTAATTCCCTATCGCGCACCTACACACGACTTTTGGTGCCATATTACTTTATTGTAAACAAGGCTTTATTGTTTCGGATACCGTTGTGTTTGAGCGTGCCGCCTGCATGATGGTGGCATGCCACTAACATGCTCGCAGCTTTCTTCCGCACTGAACCAGCAAAAACGATATTTTCTTTGCTTGTTACCCCAAAAACGATATCCAGCCTGCCCTTTAGGTAACCTGTGCCGACGCCTTGCCCTATACTGCAAAAAATAGGTTAATCATGGTCTGAAAATGGTCAAGACCAACTTAGTTTTTGATGCTTATTTTGAACTTCTTTTGCATCCGTTCTGCTGTTTCTGACGAAGTGATTGTCTGCTTTGTTCAGGTGATCTTTCAGGGTACTCAGTGTATAACATACTTTACTAACTTTACATACTTTTCATTTTTTTTTGCGAAGTAAAGCGATCAAAAATGAAATGAGTAAGGAAAGAATTGGTTACATATGCAATACGAAAAGGAAATGTCTGGAAAGAATTTTTAATTCTAGATCGAAACTCGCCACAGTCAAAAAAGTAAGCTCGGCGACGTTGTTTACGTTACAGAAAAGCGAGATCTATCAGAGAAAAACGGTGGAAAGTTCCAAGCTGAAGGCTCCAAATAGGTGTGCAAAGCGGAAACGCGGCCTCTTCAGAGTGAACGGGGTATGAGGGCCACCGGAGGGGAAGGGGGCACGCGAAGTGAGACTAACAAATAGTCTCATTTTGCGCACCTTTCCCCGTTCACCCTGAAGAGGCCGTGTTTTCCCTTTGCACACGTATTTGGATCTTTCAGCTTGGAGCTTTTCACCATTTTTCTCTAATAGATCTCGCTTCTCTGTAACTTGAACAACGTCCTGACTTACTTTTTTGACTGTGGCGAATTTTGATTGTAATTAGAAATTTTTTTCTGATATTTCTTTTTCGGATTACACACGTAACCATTTTTTCCTTATTCACTTCATTTTTAATGCGTTTTATTTCACAAAAAATGTGAAATATGTAAAGTTGGCATACACTAACACTCTGAAAGATCACCTGAACAAAGCAGACAATGACGTCGTCAGAAACAGCAGGACGGATGCAAAAGAAATTCAAAATAAGCATTGAAAACTAAGTCAGTCTTGATCATTTTCAGACCACGATTAACCTTTTTGCAGTATAGGGCCAGGCGTCGGCACAGGTGACCTAAAGGGCAGGCTGGATATCGTTTTTGGGGTAAAAAGCAAAGGAAATGTCGTTTTTGCGGCTTCAGCAAAAGAGAGCTGCAAGCACGTCACTGGCATGCCACCATCATGCAGGCGGCACGCTCCGACACAGCGGTATCCGAAACAGAAAAAACCTTGTTTACAATTGCGCAATGATAGGACACCAAACCTGGTGTGTAGGTGCGCAATAGGGAGTTAGCACCACGTATATAAAAATTATCAAAAATTTATATGAAGTTCATCGGTAACAAACTTTCTTCGGGGTCTGGCTTTACGGCCAGCTTGACGGCCGCCTGACGTGGCCGTAAAAAAAGTTATAAAATTCTACTCTATATCTCATTACCTACAGTGCTGGCCAAAGCTATAAAGCCACCCTGAAAATCACTGTAATTTGCTCTCTCTTGTTCGAAATTGTCTGAAAAACCGCTACTCTGTGCGCAAACTATCGTCATATCATTGACCAGAACGGCTCCCGATTTCATTATTTTGGCTGGAGAAAAATTAAAAAGTTTGAAAAAAGGGGTTCCCAAGGCTGCTCACAGCTATAAAGCCACCTCTCATTTTCAATCAGTACTACGTTTTTTGGGGCTGAAATTTTTTGTACATACACAATATCAAAATATAAAACATCTATCACACTTGGAAGCAGTCGCCTTCTCAAAAAGAAGATTCATCTTGCATTTTCTGCTTCAAAATGTATAAAAAGTTATAACGTTTGGAAAAACTGCCTTTTCACCGAATTCTCAAGCATTTGTTTGACTCAAATGAAGGTCCTAGGCTTTGCCGAACCTTTGCAATAAATATGGTGAAAAGCGCAGGAGTAAACATGGTATTGATGAACGAAGCTCAATCTTACCTAGTTGTAAACGCACTTCTGAAACGCAAATCTCGATTTCTGGCGCGCGAAAATTCTCTGTTGGAAGTTGATACCTTGTTTGTATGGTGACGTACTCATGCAAAAGCTGTCAGGTTTCTTACAAAGACATATTTGTAGCATTGAACTAGAACGCCTTGCCTGCAGTTCGGTTGTGCACAGTGTATCTCACATGACTTCAAATTTTGCTGCTTTGAACTCCTCTTCAAGTCAAATCTAACAGAACTGTCAGGAATACTAGAATTTTGAAGTTTTGAGTGATTTTCCGCTGGATCGAGAGGTCAGAATGTGTCACGATCAGGCAGAGTGCACCACTCATTTTTGGAAAAAAAGCGTCTAAAACGGAACCAAAATCCTGAGAAATGCGATGACGTCCAAACCTATGCACACGAGTCTGTCGTTGTACAGGCGACGTGCTGAGCACGTGATTGAGCTTTTCGGGCATTGGAACTCAATTTCTGCGGCTTGAAAGCTCGTCTACCTGGAGGTGAGGGGGATCGTTTGTCAATATCAGCGACTACGCCATGTTGACTCCTGCGCTTTTCACCATATTCATTGCAAAGGCTCGGCGAAACCTAGAAACTTCATTCGAGTCAAACAAATGCTTGAGAATTCGGTGAAAAGGCAGTTTTTCCGAACATTATAACTTTTTATACATTTTGAAGCAGAAAATGCAAGATGAATCTTCTTTTTGAGAAGGCGACTGCTTCCAAGTGTGGTAGATGTTTTATATTTTGATATTGTGTATGTACAAAAAATTTCAGCCTCAAAAAACGCAGTAAATTGAAAATGAGAGGTGGCTTTATAGCTGTGACCAGCCTTGGGAACCCCTTTTTTCAAATTTTTTAATTTTTCTCCAGCCAAAATCAATGAAATCGGACGCCGTTCTGGTCAATGATATGACGTCAGTTTGCACACAGAATAGTGGTTTTTTGGACAATTTGGAGCAAGAGGGAGCAAATTACAGTGATTTTTAGAGTGGCTTTATAGCTATGGCCAGCACTGTATCTATGCGTTCTTGAATCGCCGCAAACCCCCTCCTCCCCGTTTAGTTACAACCCCCACCCAAAGTTTTTGAATGGTTGCAGCAATGCTGCCCCATTCGCGCGGACACAGTATGTCGTCAAAGCAAACCAACACCAAGTTTTTTCAAGTGTTTTTAGATGGTTCTCAGTGTTCTTCTGTTTTTATGTTTCTTTTTTTGTAAGCACCCCATAGGGCATGTCGCAAGACTGCTGGGAACTCAAGAGTGTTCGTATGTTAGGAATGCTAAGGCCTCCTCGTCATGTATAATGGGTACATGCCGCGGGAACGTTTCGCGAAGAACACAAGAAAGTTATTCCCTATGTACCCGCTGACTACAGCTCCCGCGGAAGGTGCACAAAAATGAGTTTCACGCTCCTGAAAATATGTAATTTTTGAGATATTGCAAAAAATAACCCCGCTATTTCTCCGCTTTGATGTTATGAAGTGGAGCGAAAACCTTAAATACGGATGCTGCCAAAAGAAACATTCAATTTGTTGCGTTTCTCCCGGTAACAACAATTTCTTTTCAATTATTTCCAGTTCGCAGCTTTGACTCTTCTTTTGCCTCTGCTTTTCTTTGCACAATCTTCAGTGGAGAGGGAGGTTTTGAAGACTCTACACATTTAAGGGACTACGTCTAAATAATTGAAGGTATGGCAAAAATTTATGGCCCAAATTGACTATAGCCTCTGCTAATAGCAAGTTGAAACCGACCTTAAAATTATTCCCGAAAATGCATTCTACAACTTCAGGCTTCCAGCCACGTTTTCCTTTCTTGCACTGCTTAATAGTCCAATCTTCATCGTCTTTCTGAATCAGAGACTAAGATGGTGACAGGTAATCTCTTCTTCTTTACCCATATCTCGTTTTCCTTGTGACGCTTGCCATTAACTATACAGAGAGAGTAGGCAATAGCGATGAGAACGAAGGCAATGATAAGGGCCCGCATTTTGAGGAGTCCCAAGCCTGCAACTTTACACCATGAGCCATTTTTTACAACGGAAGGGGCTTGACTAAAAAATTGATAGGAGATGTCTCTGCAAGAAAAATGGGATCTTGTCTGCGCAAAGAGTTAGGCAAAGTCTCACGAATATATCCACACATTGTATTTCGACAGTTTTAAAAGCAAGTCTTTTGGAGAATGACAGACAGTGGTGTTGCATAAGACGAAGTAAAAGTTTTAGTGCTAAGTGTTTATTGCTTACAAAGTTTAGGTACAAGGAATACTGTGCATTGACAATCCGAAAACTATGTCATCATTTAAAAGCTTCTAACGATAAAATGCAAAACTTCAATGTTGCTGCAGAATGCAATGAGCTCCCCATTTTTGCATCTCGAAGCGCATAGGCTTGAAACCAAAGCTCGCTTCATTTTGAACGTAACTTCTTTATATCGCAATGACTTTTTTGTTATCAGGAGAAAGATGAATTCACGCGCCATGATGACAGCTCGACTGCTCTTTGTTTTATCAAGATTGCAAAGATATAAACAATAAAAGGAGATCACTTTAGTATTTATGTTCTAAGCAGCTCATCAAGGATCTAAAAAAAATACAAAGCCCGAAACCACCAACATAAGTTTTATTACTTCCTCTTTCCAATCAAGAAAAGTTTGTCTTAAATATCGTTGTAGCAGTGGTCGAGCGAGGCCCCCCTCCCCCGAAGTAGGTCTCGAAATTTTTGAAATTCACTTTGTTAAAGAAGCGTATGACTTGTTTATTCTTGTAGATAATTCAAATGGTTTTTTAAATTTTTTAACAGTCTAAATTAGTCTTGTAAAAAAAATTCAGCAAGCGGCAGTCACCCTCTTTTTCAAGATTTTAGGGGTTATGGGCCCGCAAAAATTTTGGAGCGTGTGATTAACGCCACGCACCTTCATTTGATAAAAATGACCTCCCCCCTCCTCCTCCGTACGAAAATCATGTGACCGCCACTGCTTTGTAGTCATGAGTTTTCAGCAAACCGCAAAGCAAAACTGACTTAAAATCTTTGCAACCATCACACCTTCCAATGCTATTCAAAAGACGGGGGTCAAACTTGTGTTACTCGGATGTTGCAACTTTTGTTTCTATTGAATGCTTACTTAAAAGCAATGAAACTAAGTGATCTTCTTCTCTGCTTCTATTAATGCAATCCAAATCTATTAGAGAGCCTACAAGATGACATTACAACGCAAATAACTTCATCTTCCTAACATGATATTGAACAATAATGTCATGATGGATACGAGTTCTCAGAAGAAAAGTGGGAACACATTTTCGGTTCAATCTAATGTACTGCATAGAGCTGCTTTACTTACCTGGTGATATGTATCACAAAAATCGAGTTAATTTTCTCTCAGGAAAGTCATAATTCAATCTCTATCCTTCCATTACAACATCCCACCCTCTCTATTATTGAATTCTACAAATAACTTTCTGCTGTTTTGTCTTGCCACTAAGTTGTGTAAAAAGGTCGTTCGTACTTTTTGTTTTAGTTTTTTTTACGTTCTGGATGGTATTAAATGTGCATAGGCTTGTGTTTTGTTACTTTCTCAAATTGGAAGATCTGGAAAGATAAATAGTTTTCAAATATTAGAATTTCAGAAGACAGTTAGGAATAACCCTGCAACGGTATGGAAAGAATACATGCTATAGCGCCTATTCAGAAGTGTTGAGAAGTCTTGAAAACTTGAACCGAAGAATCTCCTGTGACGCCTCTTGATCGTCATGTTAGGCATATGATTGCAGTTGAGAGAGAATGGCCAGCTGGTAATTTAAGATGGCAGAAACGAGCTGCAAAACAGTCCTTTTTTTATTTACAAACAGAGAAGCTGGGGCCACTATCGAATAAATGGCGTCAAACAATCTGTTAACTCAACGGAGCAAGCATAAATAGTGACAGTAGCTACACGATTGTTCTTTTGTTGTTTTGTTGTTTTGTTTGCTGTCAAGTCTGTTGAGTAAGTTTTGTCGATGAAACACGGGGACATAGAGAATAAAAACACGTCGAAAGTGGAATTTTGCACCTTCTAAAGCTAAAAATCTTCTTGTATCTCTTGCGAACATGAAGAATATCGCGTAATATGTAGAGCAGAGGAGAATCCAAGAGCACATACAAATTTTGACAAATCCAACGCAAAATATTGAAAGAAAATCTAACAAAATTGGGAACAAACTCATTGACCTAATATGAATTTGTAGCGCCGTTAGACATGCTTATAAGCTCCGTGGTTTAGAAAGATTAGTGCTTACCGACTAGACTGCATTACACAGTCACTACTATATTGAAAAAAAACCTCAAAAACTGCCTATAATTTTTCCACTATATCTGACTCTATTTACCACTTATGATTTTCCATTCTAGGCTCGTAATACAATACTGGGAGCGTTGCAAGGAAATTGGAGCAATACTGGAAAATTATGAGTCTTGAAGGCAGCGGCTCGGCAGAATGATAACTTTGGGATATCCATCGTTTTTGTTGCCCTGGATGAGCTAAGTCCAAGACTGTGCTTTGCGGCTTCAAAGAATATCGATAACCTCCTTTTCCAGACGTGAGAAGCGCTTTTTTTTTGGGCGGGCCGCGTATGTGCTTTTTAGCGATTGGCTCGTAAGTGGAGATACTGTACCACCGTACCCAGGAGCCAATGGCTATTCACGTCTGAAGAGGGGTTAATGATATCTTTTGAAGCTGCAAAGCACAGTCTTGGACTTAGCTCATCCACGAGAACTGAAAATATGATAAATATATCAGAGTTGTCACTCTGCCAAGCCGCTCCTTTTAACGCTTGTATGCATTGACATTCGAAGAAAAACTTTGAGTAGTAAGTATTTGAAATTTACCAAGTAGCCAAACGTTTCCACTTACTTCTCAGACTTATGACTTGAATTCAACAGTGAAGCAGCATTTCCTCATATTAGAATGCAAGCTGAAGTAGAGCACATGTGAAAGTAATGGACTGCTCATATGGGCTTACTCAACCTTTCAGATGTAGAGAGTTGTGTAGCCGAAAACAAAGGACAGCGGCAAACCAGACTGTTCTAGGTTTTAAACCGATATACATATGTGACAAATCCCAATACATATCAATGCCCCTTATATGGGTATTATTTGATACTCACAAGTAATAATAGCACATCTTCACGTCTAATATACATTCTGTGCCGGAGAAAATACTCTAGAAATGACGACACATTACTAATCTTTATTATTTTCATTTTTTTTGTCTGAAACTCAATAGTCGAGATCTTGATCTAGGCAGATTCTACGAACTTTTTATACAGTTGCCTTACATGGATATCTTTTTATTTCTCAATACTTTTTGAGGGGTTGCATATATCCAATTAAAGCAATAAACACTTCTTTGAGAATTCTCATTATTAAGCACGATTTTGGTGTCAATAGCGGACGTCTGAGCTCATAACCTGCATTTGTACCGGACTATCAGCAGGAACAGACTAGAGAACAAGTGCATTTGATCTTCGACTATCAGCAAAATTACTCGAGGTCAGCAATCATGACGGCCATAATTTTTGCGTCAATATATAGGAAGGATACACACACGATTGTAAGAAGGGCAAAAAATAAGGCACTTGTTCTTTCATTACCCGAACGAAACATATTAGTATCATATATGTACCATTTGATTCAACTGGCTTGGCCTTGGCAAAGGTGTGGCTTCGTAACCTAACTAGGGCTAGGTAATGATCAGAGAGCACTCGCGCGAGAGAGACGCAAGTGCGTTGTGGGCACGAGCGGCTCAATTAGATCACAAAACCCCGCCCTAACGGAGCCAAGCCAGTTGAATCAAAGGTTATTACCTGGCATGCCCTGCTCCGCCCGCCCTGCCAATACCATAAAAAGCTATTTACGGCCTCCCCTTGTTTCACTTTTATATGCCAATTCGCTGCTAAGTATGTTTTCGCAATCAGCACACTCACGGTTAGTTAAATCTCTGTACAACCCCAGCACTTTATTCCAAACTTTACAAAAAGTTTTAAACAGTGGTCCAAATTAACTCACATACCTCTCCCCCCCCGTGCCAAAACTAACCCCGTAGCTCAAGATTTGCAAAGTTATAAATCAAAATCGGTTGAAAACGAAAAGTAGCCAATGACACCCGCCTCGTTTGTGTGTGTGCAAGCCTTGATCCTGATAGGTTTGGAAATAGAATTTTCTCTTTACAACATATGTACAGATACACACCAACAGATAAAGATCATCGTATTCGCTTATTCTCCCCTGCAAACTCGTTGCTGGAAGTTTGTAAAAATTCGACTTAGTCGATATTGATCGATAATGGAAAGTATCCAACGACAACCGTCCGCCGCAAATTGTGTGTGTGCAAGTTTAGGTCCGGGTCGGTCAGAAACGGAATTCATATTTTCAGTTCGGAACACGCACAACACACACAACACACAACGCACACAAAACGCAACGCATAACACACAACATACATAACAAACAACACACACAACACACACTTAGGTTTATATACAACGAGAAACACACACATTTAGCCTCATATACTAGGTTGTTGCGGAAGTTCTGTCCGATTTGCAAGTTTTCTAATTAAAAATGTTATAACTCTCTTCAAAATCCACTTTTTGGTACAAATCAAATTTTGTTTAACTGAGCGAAATTACATCTATCAAAAGCACAGTATGCCATACAAAGAAAAAGCGAAAGAGAAATGAAAATGTGGAATATTTTGCAGAGTTTCCCTCAAAACCATCCATTTTGACGTACAAGTGCCTTATAAAGATACGCGAACATACAGGGTGTCCCAAAAAATGTATCGAACGTTTGATCGTTAATATTCTCTTCTAAGGAAGTCTTTTCCCTTGATTCAGGTACCAATTTGTAGAGCTGGCTTCAAATTAGATTTGCATAACGAAGCACTCATCTCTCTTCATTACTGTAGGATTACGGTAGAAACTTCAAAGGGGGTTTTAAGCAATGAAAGGTCATATTTTGCCCCAGAAAGGAAACAAAACAGCTTGAAAACTTTTACACTAGGCTAACTAAAGTTGCTGATCTCAACTGTAAAGTTCCCAACTTATTATGATGCTTTATTGAAGAGTTATGCTAAGTAAAAGGTAGCGGCCATTTTTCCAATGTTCCTAAAAAGTGCGGTTACACCGTTTAGAAAGCTTCGTAATCCCTTGAATAGTTGAGTATTGAATTCAGCGTCCATAAAAACCCCAATACACAAGCTTTCACAATTTTTTTTGAAAAATTTTGAAACGGCAGCTTTTTCCACATTGACACCTGTTGTGTTAGTAACTGATCGTTGTTACTCATAGTGATCTGCCTCGCGCAGTCGATCGCAACCACAGGGTGCGCGGGAAATGAGCGCTATGAAAGGCGCTCGCTGTTAGCCATTGTGAGTTCGACTGTTCACTCATCGCCTCTTTTATTTTACTGTCTCCTATTATTTTCTAATAAATATTCTTGTATTTACCCGTGTGCGCCTCAGGACGAAGAGTCGACGTGTCCGAAGTGGAAGACACAACAGTGGCGATCAGGAGCGCCGGCTACTAATCGAAGAAGTAGCCGAACCAACAAAGCCCGAGGAAATCAAAGCGAACAGGAGACTGCAGAGAGCAGTCAAAACGAATTCATAGATCAGCATGGCGAAGATGGGCTCAGAGAAATTGCCGATCTTGCTCCAGGAGATGAGAGAGGAACGAAGAGAGATGATGGAGCTTCTGAAGCACATCACAGGTACTGGACGAAGCGATATGTGCTTCAGCAGATGGTAAGCTCGGTACAAGGAAGTCTTTGTCGAAGACGCGAAGCAGCTCACAGAGAGCGCTAGGGTGAGGCTGCTGTGCGAAAAACTGAACAAGGATTGTTTCGAAAAATATCAGAGGCATGTGCTACCGAAAGAAGTAATCGCCATTAAATTCGAAGAAACGGTCGAAACATTGAAGCAACTTTTCGACGTGAAGATCTCCGAATTTACCATGAGGTACCAGTGTTTGAAACTGGAGAAAGCGGATTCCGAAGATTACCTCATGTATACCGGTCGAGTGAACGAACTATGTGAGAAGGCGAAGATCCACGACTTGGATAGCGATGGAATCAAGTGCCTTTTATGGATTTTTGGCCTGAAGAGCCAAAAAAGAAGCCGAAATTAGGCAGCAACTCATAGCCGTACTGGACAAGGAGTACAGGCTGGACGAAATATGTCGCTACAGAAATTGTACCTGGAGTGCGAAAACTTCCTTAGTCTCAAGAAGGATAGCGAGACTGTGGCTGGTTGCACGAAGATTGTCGAAGCAACAAGCAAGGAGGAACCCACGAAGCTGGAATGCTGGAACTGTGGTAAAGCTCACTTTGCAGGGAATGCAAAGCGAAGCAGTGGTTTTGCAAGAAGTGCAAGAAGACAGGTCACAAGGAAAAGTATTGCGAACAAGTGGCGGAGAGAAAAGCACTTGTTCAGCAATATCCGAAACGAAGAATCCATAGAAGCAGCGACACCAGTAAAAACAGAAGTTGGACGAAACCAAAATGCCAAGTGCATCGTGTTGTGAAGATTGCGAACGCAATGATGGAAGTGAATTCGACCCGCATATATGTGGAAGCTTTTTGAATAATCATCCAGTTAGTTTCTTACTGGACACAGGATCAGATATCACCCTGCTAAACGAAGCAATCTGGAAAAGCATGGGTGCTCTACGGCTGGAGGAAACAAGCGTGATCGTCAAGAACGCTAGTGGAGGTTCCATGGAAGTTCATGGAAAGCTATGGTGTGAGTACGAAATCAAAGGATCCAAAAGTGAAGGCTACGCATACGTGACGCCCCACAACTCACTGCTAGGATTAGAGTGGATCCAGAAAAACGAAGATATGTCCTATCACTTAAGCGGAATGGTTGCCGAAGTGAAGGCAGAGCAAACCAGCGACATCGCTACGAAGCTAAAGAAAACCTACCAGAAGTCTGCGAAGAAAGGTCTAGGACTCTGCACAAAAGAGGAAGCGCAGTTGAGAGTTAACGAAAACGTTCGCCCAGTGTTCAAGGCTTGTAGGCCTGTCCCCCATACTGCACTCGAAGCTGTCGAAAAGGAGTTGGATAGATTACTGGAACTAAGGGTCATAAGTCCAGTGACGCACAGTGAGTGGGCAGCTCCGATCGTATGCGTCAGGAAGGCGAATGGAAAGTTGAGAGGATGTGCTGACTTCTCAGCTGGACTCAACAAAGCGCTGGAGTCATACGACTACCCGTTGCCATTGCCGGAGGATATATTCGCGTCGCTCAATGGAGGAACGGTGTTTTCGCAGATAGACCTGTCGGACGCCTATCTGCAGATTGAGTTATCAGAAGAAGCGAAGAAGCTGGTCGTAATAAATGCTCATAGAGGATTGTACCGCTACAGTAGACTGCCTTTTGGAATAAAGACGGCACCAGGAATCTTCCAGCAAATCATGAACAAGCTGGTGAGCGGATTGCGAGGAGTAGAAACCTACTTGAACGACATATTAGTCTGTGGAAGAACCGAAGGGAACACATGGAGAACTTGTTAGCTGTATTTGCAAGGATCGCTGAATACGGATTCAGGATTCGCTTAGAGAAGTGCTTTTTTGGCAAGCCAGAGATAGATATCTTGGCTTTATAGTAGATCGTAATGGCAGGAGGCCAAACTCAGAGAAGATCGAAGCAATCAAGAAGATGGATGAGCCGAAGAACATTAATCAATTGAGAGCTTCTTGGCATGATAACGTACTATGCAGCGTTTATGCCAAAGATCAAGGATCTTCGTGGACATTGGACGCGATGCTCAAGAAAGATGCGAAGCTCAATGATACAATGTTAAGTGAGCTCAATCTTGCTCACTATGATCCAAGACAGAAGATCGTCGTGGCAGCGGACGCCAGTGATTATGGAATTGGATGCGTGATTCGCACAGATATCCTGATGGATTCGAAAAGCCAATAGCGCATGCATCGCGGCTCTTACGAAAGCAGAAAAAAAATTATTCGCAAATCGAAAAGGAAGCCTTGGGAATTGTCTTTGCAGTCAAGAAATTCCACAAGTACATATTTGGACGAAAGTTCCTACTCTTTGACGGACCATCAACCATTGTTAGCCATTTTCGGTGATAAGAAGGGAGTTCCAGTCTACTCCGCGAACCGACTCATGAGACGGGCTACAATTCTACTTGGATATGACTTCGACATAGAATATGTCAAAACAACGAAGTTTGGACAAGCAGATGGCTTGTCAAGGTTGATGAAGAAGAATCAGAATCTCGAAGAAGATGTCGTGATAGCTGCCGTTGAGAACGACGTTGACTACATGCTGAAGAGCTGCATAAGAAAACTGCCAGTAACGGTATCTGAGGTACGAACTTGGACGAAGAAGGATCCAGTACTCAGAAGAGTACTCACTTATGTGCAGAAAGGAAATTGGCCAGAAATGAATGGAGAATTGGCACATTTTCGAAATCGAAGAGAGACATTGTCAATCGTGGAGCAATGTCTGATGTTAGCCGAAAGGGTTGTGATACCCAAGGAGCTTCGAAGAAATGTTCTGAAAGAACTTCATAGTAGTCATCCTGGGATTGTAAGGATGAAGAAGCTGGCTCGAAGTTACGTCCACTGGCCGAACATCGATGAAGATTGCGAAGACTTGGTACGAAGATGCACGAAATCTCAAGAATTAGCCAAAAATCCGACGAAGGTACCATTAGAAGCATGGCCATCCGCGACTCGAGTGTGGCAGAGGATATCGATGTATCGACTCGATATCGACTTCGCTGGACCTATGCAAGGAGTCTTCTACTTGGTAGTAGTGGATGCATACAGTAAATGGCCTGAAATGATCGAGATGAGCAACATTTCGGCTGCAAAAACGGTGAAGGCATTGAAGAACTTGTTTGCGAGGTATGGATTACCGAAAACAATAGTGAGCGACAATGGTACCCAGTTCACGTCGGACTTATTCAAGAAGATGTGCGACGAAGGTGGAATCGCCCACATAAGGACTGCTCCGTATCACCTTCAATCGAATGGACAAGCAGAGCGTTTCGTTGATACGCTGAAACGCGGAATCAAGAAACTAGAGGGGGAGGAGAGGCCAACAGAAGAGACTCTAAATGTGGTCCTACAAGCGTATAGGACAACACCAAACACGAACTTGGACGACAAGACGCCAGCAGAATTGTTCCTCGGCAGAAACTTGCGCACAAAATTGAGTCTGTTACTACCGTTGACAGAAGATGCAGAAGACCCACTCGCACGAAGAAGACGAGAGTGCATGAAGGACTAGTTTGACCCGAAGCATGGAGTCGTTCGAAAAAATTTCGAAGTTGGTGACCTGGTATATGCCAAGCAATGGAAGCCACCCCACTTCCGTTGGATGAAAGGAACAGTGATGAGACGTATTGGACGCGTCAACTATGAAGTAATGGATGGAAATGAAATCTGCAAGAAGCTCGCAAATCAAGTACGTCACCGAAGCGACAGCGAACAGCTTGCAGTCCAACACCAACTCAAACAACAATCCGAAGCTATGAAGATACTGTTAGATGTTCTGAGAGAAGACGACCCACTATCGAGGAATGGCAATGCTGCAGCAGGGAGTTCTGAGCAAACGATCGCGAGCGATGTGACAGCACACGTGGATTCAACGACTTCAACGTCGACATCAAGCCACGAGCCCTCCACGCCATCGACAACGCTTCGGAGATCGAGCAGAACGAGAAGGTCAGTGAAACGGTTCCCCGCTTCTTAGAGTAATGTATGTTTTATTTGATTAGGTTCTTAGTTGTGATAGTGATGTTAATGTATTGTTTTGAGTCATTTACTCGTGCTTTTTTGCCGTAGGCTAGTTTTGTTGTAACTACCCTATTGGGGGAGGTGTTGTATTAGTAACTGATCTTTGTTCCTCATAGTGATCTGCCTCGCGCAGTCGATCGCAATCTCAGGGTGCGCGGGAACTGAGCGCTATAAAAGGCGCTCGCTGTTAGCCATTGTGAGTTCGGCTGTTCACTCATCGCCTCTTTTATTTTACTGTCCTCTATTATTTTCTTACAAATATTCTTGTATTTACCCATGTGCGCCTCAGGACGAAGAGTCGACGTGTCCGAAGTGGAGGACACAACAACACCATATGTTTCAAGTTTCTACCGTAATCCTACAGTAATGAAGAGAGATGGGTGATTCGTTCTATAATGCAAATCTAAGTTGAAGCCAGCTCTACAAACCGGTACCTAAAGCAAGGCAAAAGACTTTTTGGGAAGAGAGATATCAACGATCAAACGTTCAATACATTTTTCTAGGACACCCTGTATTTGGCTGTCACCATTAGTAGCCTATACTTCAGAGAATCTTTCATGGCTAAAAATTCGAGCCATTTTTGCTGCACAGAAATATTCACACGAACAAATCAAAAAATCCATTATTTGAGCCCTCCTTCGAGAGCGCAAATAAGCAGACTTTCTGAGATTGGATTTTTTCTTGCTGTTGCGAACGGAGAAAGCTAACCGGCCGATCGTCCCTGCTTGCTCTCGCTTCATTCTATCGTATGTATTACTGGTGCACCATCGTTCGCTATACGTAGATTGATGTTACTTTTTGCTTAACTGAGTTTGTCTTCTATTTTGAGAAAAAATTGAAAAGTAAGACGTTGCTTCGTTGGAGGTAAAGTGTGCGTATGTTAGCCCATTACACCCTGACCCAATACAAAATATTACGTATTCAATTCAACAAATATTGCGGGAAATTCTTCTTGGGTATGGCTACATTTTGGTATTTGGTTTTGGGGCTTGGACTTTTGTCACTGAGAAAAATATTTTGTCAAGCATTAGTGAGACCAGAAAAAGCAAAAAAAGTGTTTTTGGACAATATCCATATTTGTGCGAAAAGTACAGAACTTCAAAACTACTGTGTTGAAACAAGGTAACTGGAAATCGTACAGAACTTTCGGAACACCCTAGTATAACGATAATTACTAATTTGCACCAACTGCTATATATGATTCAAAAACTCACTTCCACAAAAAGTAGTGCATGAAACCTTATCAGTGACCACAAAAAAGTCTTTATTTTGCAATTTGGAAACAATACCCATCACTGCGATCGTACTAAGCAGGTAGTTGTGTCGGTTGTTACATACAGTAGGCCGTAACGTCGCCTGCTAACTCCTCACAATAGCATCTTATCCCGTTTTTTTCAACATGTGCATTTCTAGGGATCTGTAATAGATTTGCAATAGATTCATATACCAGACTCAAAATCTGAATAAAAATACAGGTCTGAGGAGCTTGCACTCAGGCAATAAAATGTGACTTACTCGTATGCACTAATTTTCCTGCGGGAAGGGAGCGGTGTCTCCCGTTATGAAGGGGCCGCTGCCGCTTCTTCATCACTGGGACGCCGCTTCCCTCGCAGCAGAATGTTCGTGCTCACGGGCCTTCCAAGAGGAGGTCGCCAAGACCACGCGTCTGACTGAGATATGGTACATTTTCGGGCCGAGAACTTGGGAGGGTTTAGCCTCGGATTTTAATTTAAAGTTTTAGCGCACGCGCTATTGAGGAAAACCTAGACTGTAATTGTGTGGCGTAGTAATTAGTGTCTCAAACTCAAAGATGATGGATGTTGGTTCCAATCGTTTTGTTGGGCCGCTTACGGCTTACAGGCTGATATATCTCAAAATCAGACTTTCAACGTGTTGTTTGAATTGCGAAAGCACATTCAGTTTCCCATAGCCAATTAAGCTCTATTGAAAGTCTTCAGGATACCATATGTGATAAATGTGATAATTCGCATAATGCTTGAAGCATAACGTTTAAAATATATCGGGCGAAACTTACAAAGACTTTCTAACTCTGCTTGAAGTTTTCAAGCCTGGCCCAATTTTCTCTGCCCACATATTATCTTTGATTACAAATGGAGTTCACGTAACTTACTATGAAGCTCCTTGTAAGAACGACATGGCACAATTTATGACTAATTGGACCTAATCAGCAGTGATTTTCTGCCTCAAAAAATACATGAGACAAAACTTAATTAGAAATGAGCACAAAACTTTCGCATGCATACATTATTCAAACCCACATTGCTCACCTGTGATTAAACACCAACCGCTGTACACAACTACATTTGGGCCCGTTGTAAACCCCTATTTATCTACGTTGAATGTAGAGCGCCTCAGTCCTGCATCCGGTGAGTTATTGATCTGTATGCGGATCTTCTTCTAGATCTAGACATCTTCGTTCTCCAAAAACATACAACACGAGAGACCATGGTTCGCAGCTGGTTAGTGGCAGATTTTTGCGCCACGGCCGGACAATTTCAGATAGCGGCCGCTATCAAGAAAAATCTATGGCGACCCTATCAAGGACATCGCCAAGCAAATGAATGGATAAAACAAAATAGTCATTTTTTGACGAGGATATCATGGAAAAATTGAAAATGTTGGAACATAAAGCAAACGAAACAAATCAAGAAATCCCTGTTTCAAGCAGTTTTTGAAGAAGAAGAGAAAAGGCTCTGAAGTAAGAAAAATCTTGTTTTCTTGCTTTTCTCGCCGCAATCAGGTGTTCATTGATCCTCTCTCATTTAGCCCACCAAAGTCGTGAATTTTGGAAGTTTTGCACCGCAGCAGTACGTCAGCTAAACTGTCCCGTAAGTTAATCACGAGCAACTTACGGGATTTGTCTGATTCTCCTCTTTTGCACGCTATCTCCCTCGGGTCACCCTAAAATTATCTTCAGCTAAGTGGCATTCTTTCAAATTGACTGTCGCGATTGCCCGGACAGTCTTCTTACTGTTCTGCTGACTAAAGCACGGGAAGATGGGCGGTATGTGTTCATCCTAGGAAGTTCTTCTGAATGACTCATCTCAAGTCAACTGAAATGAGTGGGGGCTTACTGCGGGCTTACATTTAAAATTGCATGTGTCCCTAGACGTGCTCCAAGCCTTCAAAAGCTATAACTTTCTTTGAAATAACGCTTCGTGGCTGATCAATGCATATTTGAGATTACTCCTCCCCCCCCCCCCCTCCCCATAAGCGCTTAGTTTGAGTATACATATATTATTCGGTTGTTTCATAAGTTCGTAGCGTTTCCATAAATCAACTAAACGACAAACTTTTGTCAAAATTCAGTTAATGATGTATTTCCCGGTTGCGACAACCTTTTACCACCTTGCCGTCAAATTTTAATTTCGTTTTTCCAAAGCTTAGCTGATCTGGTCTCAAAAAAGTCGTCTAACCAACGCCGAAGATCATCTTCGGAATTGGAACAGGCGCAATTCACACGTTTTGTAAGAGAGCGGGACAAAAGGTCCACTGCTGGAGCGAGGTCTGAGGAGTATATCGGATACTAATATGTCCTCTAGTCAAGTCTTTCAAGGTAGTTTTAACGACGTTTATCGTACGGCCATAATTGTCATGCAGAAAAACTTACTGGACCTGTTATTTGAGCTATTTTTGCAGTAAGGATCGTTAAACGGTGCAATTGGGTTGATACGGTACGATCGATCCTTTATTCTTGTTTAGCAATTTTCAGAATGTTTATCAATTTGCAAAACCTCTGCTAGTCCTGCAAAAGTTTTGTTCAGGAGACACCCTGCAAATCCTTGGTTTTCTTAGAAAATCTTATCCTTATTGTCTCTATCAACGAAGAAGCGCATTTTTTACATTTGGGGAAAAATATCTGTGCAAAAAACACTTTTTTGTAAGGACGAATGAGCAGATTTTGAAAATGCTTCTTTTTATCGTTTGAAAATTCCACATTTGAAAGATGAGAGATTGAAGAGGGTCAGCTTTTTATCAAAACTAATAGGTTCATTGTAAAAAGCATGGTTAGCTCTTTTCAATGATATGCTCGCCTTGCCGCAAAACCGCCTTCTAGAGAAACGAGGGCGAGAATTCATCGCTACAAGAAAAGCGTTACTAATCCATTGCCCAATCCTTGTATTTCGGTTGTGATAGTGAGTCACGATTAGTCGTGCTGGAAAACTATTACAACCGAAATGCAAGAAGATCGGCATGCAATGATGTTGCTGCAGCTGTCTTGTCGCGATGAATCGCAACGATGAAATCGCGTGAACTCTGCCCGAGGCCTTAAGGGCAGTGTCCGGGCAAAAACTCGATTTTGAGATTTTGTGCTTACACGGGCCTATTGCCATGCTGAGTCCGAAAGTCCACAATGGAAAGCGCGAAAACGGCAAAAAAGGGCTCTAGCATAGGAGGACAGAAAGTGGGCGAGGTCCTTCCTCTGTGAACTCACGCTCCCAGCTTTCGAAGCGGTCTTGGGAGGGGAGGGCCCCACCCACCTGCTGATTCCCCTCCTGTGTTAAAGCCTATTCCGCCCTTTTCGCGCTCTCCAATGTGCCTTTTCGGGTTCAGCGTAGCGAATAAGCCCGAGTAAGCAAATCTCAAAATCGAGTTCTTGCCCGGACACTACCTTTAAGCCACTCTCTTTTCTTGGCTCTCTCGCGGACACCTAATCATAATAAAAGCTAGTCATAAACAAAATGCTAGCTGCTACGACAGTTTATCTTAAATCGCTAAAGCGCGCAACAACATTTACGGCACGAAATGATCAACGTCTCCATCAACAACAAAATAACCTACTCTCATATCTTCGATGACGCATTCTACCACTTCTGGTTTCCAGCCATGTTTTCCTTTCTTGCACTGCTTGACAAAAGGCGAATTTTCACTGTCTCTCTGAATCACAGACTAAGATGGTAACGGGTAATCTCTGCTTCTTTACCCATTTCTCGTTTTCCTTGTAACGCTTCCCGTTAACTATACATAGAGAGTAGGCAGTTGCAATGAGAGCGAAAATAATGATAAGAGCCCGCATCTTGAGGAGTCCCACCAATCCTGCAAATTTCCATCGTGAGACATTGTCTACAAAGAAAAGGACGAGACAAAAAAAATTAGGATGTAATTCTTTTGGAAAAAAGAGCGTTTGCACAAAGAACCAAACAAAATTTCACGGATATACCTCCAAATAATGTATTTCGCCTATTTGGAAGTAAATCCTTCAAACACGTTTCGGACCGCGAAGTCAGGCGCGGCGGAAAAGAGTGCACTTTCAGCCGTTAGCCTACGAGGGACCTTATTTCGCAGCTTGTGGGCCACATTTGTAATCAGCATGTCAGATAAGCTCCATATCCAAAGTTCTGAGTAAATTCGAAGTGTTTGAATTTTGCACAACTCTACAGAGTCATTTGAAAAGTAGGAGCTTAGACCTTTGACTTAACAACTTTAGACTAACTAAAAGGATTCCTGAAAACGCCAGAAAGATCCTTCAAAGCAGCGTGCTGCACCATGTGCAACACCGGTCCGGAACGTGTTAAGGAATGGACTAGATGGGGTGGTGCATTAAACAAAATCTAGATGGGATGGTGCATAATACAATGTAAGTTGCTATGTTTGATGTTCACAAAGCTTAGCTTTAAGGAATACGTGATGTGCATTGAAATCCCAAAACAACATTATTATTTGAAAGCCTATAATGACAAAGTGCGAAGTTTCAGAGTTGCTGTCAAATGGAATGAGCCCTCCATTGTGAATCTTGGAGCGCAATATGCTTAGAGAATATTTAATGTTGTATTGCATTAGTTCAGAATAGTTTAATGTTCTCTTGCAGACAATGATGTTATTAAAGATGAATTTGCGTCTTTCTAATGGCATCATGGCTGTTCTATTTTATAGGGATTGCAAAGGTAGACGGGAAAGAAGGAGATCAGCTCAATAAGAATCTGCAAAACTGTAGTAGTGTCTCCAACAAAGTCTTATCAGTTCTTCTTTCCAGTCGAATAAAGTTTGTGTCAATTCAATAGCTTTGTGATCGTGAATTCTCACCAAATTGCAAACAAAAACTAACATAAAATTTTTGCAATCACCGCAGCCTTCCAAACATATATAATTTAGAAAACGTCAAAATTATGTTAGTGACTGTTTCGATTTTATCGCATCCTTTTCAGGTTCGATGAATGTCTGCTTAAAAGAATTGAGACTAAACGTTCTTCTTCTGCTTCTAATTCTGCGATATAGATCTAGTAAAAAGCCTAGAAGGTGCCATTACAGAGCAAATAACTTTATATTTTTGATATGATATCAACAAATGGCAAACTCATGGAAATAGATACGAATCTTTACAAATTAGAGAGAAAGTGCAAAATATCTCCGGTTAAATCTAATGTATTGCGATAGATGATATCCACGGTCAAAACAACTTGAAAGCTTTATTTCAACCAAACTCGTTTCCCTTGACTTCACGAAAGGCCTCATTTTTCGTCTAATGCGAGCAGCTCTGCCCTTTCGCTGTGCCCTTACGGACGTAAGTTCCCTTAGGCCCCGGGCAGACTTCACGCGATTTGATCGTCGCGACTGAATCGCGACGATCAAATCGCGTAAAGTCTGTCCGGGGCCTTACGCCTAAAGCATACCTCGCGCGATTCCGGTCGCTGCGCTTTGGCATGACAGCGACTCTTTGTTATTCGTCGTTAACGCGCTCCTTTGGACGGAGTCCGGGGCCTTACGCCTAAAGCATATCTCGCGCGATTCCGGTCGCTGCGCGATTTGGCATGACAGCGACTCTTTGTTATTCGTCGTTAACGCGCTTCCTTTGGACGGACTTATCCATTTACAACAACTTACACAGGCTACCCGCCTATGCGTTCGAGAAGCGCGCACGATAAATCTGTAGAAATCTGGCAAATCGCCAAGTCGCTTGAAAGCAGTGATTTAACCGAATCGCGCAGGTATGCCTTCGGCCTTAGGTAACGGGCAGCGGTAGCGCCCTGTCCTCAAATCCTTTGGACTGTTTCTGTTTGAGTTGAAAAAGAAGCTCTTCTTGTACGCGTAATTCAGAGTAGGTTAGAAGTAGTATTTCTCTTTATGATATAGCCTTGGAGTTTAGAAGAAGGTCATTCAGTCCTTTCTTTCTGAGAGCTAAAAAACCTGGTTTCTGATAATAATTCATGACTTGCAGGCGTGAGTTATAGACTCATAGAACGAAAGTCAGAATCTGTTAGCAGAGATTTTTTTTGATATGGATGAGAGAATAACTTCTTTTCATAAGAAGCTTCACAGCAATACATTAAGGCATGGAAAGCATCAAAAAGAGGTCGAGCAAAGTTGCAAACTTTTGGAATACCATCATAGAGCCATTGTATAAATTATGTACTACAGATGTATAAAGTGCCTGTAAAGACTAGATAATAAATGTTCTTAATTATCTTCTGTGAAGAGTACCATTGAACGTCAAAAGTTCAAACTCAAACAATAATGGCCATTAGTTCAGCAATAATCTAGTAGAATGCCTATATACATAACGCAGATTTGTGTGAAAGTGAGGCATTTGTTATCTCGTTAATCTGTGGGGGTAATATCAATTTCATTACAGCATGGTACCAGGTTGATTGGGAAATGTGTTCGGTCATTCTAACGAATTCTAGAAATGTTATCAACTGATTTGTGCATGTAAATGTGGTCCTATCGGAGAAAACAGCAAGCAAACTGGATGGTCAGTTCTGTTTAATCGAAATCCTTTTTTAATAGCGAAATGGTACAGGAAAAAAGATTAGTCAAAACCCAACTATTTGCATGACCGTAGATGGTCAAATTCAAGCGATTTGGTTTGAACAAAAACTGAATCCCAACAAATAAGAGGCTTGCTTGCTAATTTGTAGAAATTTAGATTAGGTTGTCTATTCAAGCTTTGCGAATGTCCAGTAACATACAGAAGTTTTTTCTTGAGCCCGCATGCATGAACATCTCTGCGGCGAGAAGAGCGGGTTCGTAATGATAAAGACGTATACACGATTCATGACACGCAAAGACTGGGCGCCGTTGCGTCCGGCTAAAATAGCACGTGCATGGGAGAGACAGTAGATGGTAAGAGAAACGAAAGAGCGCTCGATTGGAGAGACGCCGATACGTCCGCAGTCTTTGCGTTGTGAATGGCCTATAGCTTCGTTTGCCCGCGCTCCTTCGTCACAGGGGGGACGCCGCTCGCCGCAGAAATGTTCAAGCAAAAGGGCTTTAGTAAAATCACTCATTGCAAAACCCGTCAGCCGCCCTATTTGGAGCACTGGATGATGCCATCTCCAGGATTAAGCTGAATACTAGGTCACCTTAATGGAACACATTTACACCTTCGAGAAAGTGTCGTAGGAGCAGCCAGAGCTACTCTCTGCCTTAACTTCGTCGACTATGACAAAGCCTTTGACATCTTTGTAACCAAAGACATTCTGTAGATAGCAACTTTCTGGTGGACACAGCTTATGCGAGAACTTTGGTCGACTGTGCAGGACCAACACAGTCAGCTTATTCCATCGCCCTCTGACCTATTCTGTTTGAGAAGGGAGTGCGACAAGGCGACAACATCTCTTCGATGCTGCTTGCGCCATCTTGCGTTGTGTAGGGAAGTCATTCTACCGGGGCGAAGAGGAAACGAGTAAAGATGACATCTCTCTTTTCTTCCCGTATCACTGAAACAAACACTGCCTAAGGGATTTAACGAAGTAGGTAAGAGGATTGAAGTACGAGTAAATGGAGGAAGATTCCTCATTGCAAATTTCGGAATCGAAGTAGTGAGACACCTTCTTTACGGATACGTCTTTTCGCGTATCTAGAACTTTGTTGATAGAGAGCGATTTAGGGTTAGACTTTAAGGAAGAAGAAGAGCGGCCTGGACCGCCTTCGAGCCTCGGAATAAAGCCACCGACCAACTAACACATCCGATGCTTCAAAAGCGCAGTTTTGCGGTTTCTACTCGGCATCAACAGCAATATCTCGTCGTATTTCGCGATTGATGTGAGAAGGATGTTCCGTCTTCGTTATCATTGGGATACGTTGCGAAACAAAACATTGGGCTTATAGCACCAGTGAGAAGTCGGATATCTTCCAGGGAAGTCATCCAATGGGACAGCAAGGCGTATTGGGGTGGAGATAAAACGGTTTTAGATCTTTCCTTTAGGCTTTTTCATAGCCAGTTGCGGGCGACATTCATTGGCGGTGCAATCTGCTTTGGTCTCAAAGCGCGCTTTAAGCAAAGCAGGGGGCGTTTTGAGGCCGGAGCAGACCGTTGCGAGTTGAATATAAATAGGAACGCAGCTCAAAAAAAAAGCTTCATATTCTGAAGCTGTGAACGTCCAGATTTCTTGCTATCTGTCCATCTGCAAGCATTGCTACCACCTTTACATAAACTTGTTAACAGCCTAGAAGCTGTACAATCCGCATTTTCCAGCTTTTCGTATGATCCCCTGATAATCCCCTAAGGCCGACCGTTTTTCCTTCAGAGTCATTTTTCTTCTTCGAAGTCAATAAAAACATGCCAAAGTTGTGTAGATTATCTGACCCAACAATGTTGCTGATAAGAAAAGCTGAGGTATTGGAGTTATGAAAATTTCGATGAGCCACAAGTCGAAACGTGGGGTCTCTCAAAAATTTCACAATTTCTATAAACCATTGTTTATATCAGAAACATGTTTAACATTACTGGGTTGGATAATCTACACAACTTTGGTATGTTGCTAGCTTCGAAAAAAGAAAAAATGATTTCAAAGAAAAAGTCGGTCACGCGGATCATTAGGAGACCATACAAAAACTCGAAAAACCAGCTTTTACAGCTTCTTGCTCTTTCCAGATCTGTCACAGTGACGAGTAGTAGGATTACTTATAGATGAATAGGCAGCGTGAACTCCAGATATTTGGAGCTTCAAAACTTGGAACTTTCTTTTGAGCTGTGATTCCCTCCGCGGTGAAGACGTTAGTACATGCGGCCCTAAGAGGGCTTGCCACCGGGGATTGTCGGGGATTATACGAAAACTGAAATTGCGGCTTGTACAGCTTCTCGACTTGTACATCTCCTGTACAGT